TGAACCAAGGCCAAAGAACACATTAAGCCACTGGGAGAACCTCCTGTAATGGAGCTGATAAGGTGCCCAAAATGCCTTAGAGTACATCAGTGGAACATCTCTTCGAACAAGCTCAAATTATTCCTGGTACAGACCCTGAGAGCCAGAGCCCAAAAGGAAGAGCTTGAAAAGGAGAGCTGGGAGGTGAGTCTGTGGTGGGACACACAGACCTACCATCCATTTCTCCATAATCTAAAGGAGAATGTTATACATACATAATAAACATGGGCAATAATTAATCATAAAACTAATAAGGCACGGGTTTAAGTGAAAAAATTAAAGTTGTGTGGACACCAATTCTTATTTCCTGTTCCTCCAACCACTTCATTAACCACTGCAGGGAAGAAGGAGGACTATATGGACACTAGACACAGCAAAGAGGCTGCTGAGTGAAACACTTAGCTTATCTCTACATTTTAACATGCCCTGGAAATAGAAGAACTATCTGAACACGCAGTGCTTCTCCTAGCTCTCACCAGGGACTTGCACCACGGACCAATCTCACTGTGAAATCTTCCTTCATGGGAGCCACACCTACCAAAATACACTATTTTTGTATTAAACATACTGCTTTCATGTGTAACTCCTAACATCTTCCTGCCCAGAGAGGGAACAGCACTGGTAATCCACAGGAAGAGCAGGAAATTCCCTGCACTGTGCAGAGGAAGCATCTGCCATGCACGTGAAAGGAGCAGAGGAATCAGGAGCATCTGGAAGCACAGAAATCTGGACTGGGGTCCATGGGCACTGCCCCGTAATGCTGAGGGGTGCAGCAGGCTGGGCAGGAGGAGCTCTTGCTCACATCTCTGTACAAAAGGACAACCAGGAGAGGATCTGCTGCTTCTTTTTGCATCCAGCATAACTCTGCATTCCTTCTAATCACTGGAGGTCACAGCAGCTCTCAGGCAAGGGAGAAACCTTTGGCACAGGAACCTGAATAACTGCTGTACCTGTTAGCTCTGGTGATGCCAAACACTACTTGCAAGGCTTGGAATCCTCATCAACCACAAAGCTCTGTTTGTTGTTCAAATAATAAAAACATTTGTGTTTGGTTGTTTGGGTTTTTTTAACAGAAACATTTGAAAATAGCACCTACACTAAGCTAAACTTGTGTGGCTTAAACCATCTGCTTAAACACTCACTACTAGGATCCCACAGGTAAGAGAGAAAACTAGTGGGAGGGGTTTTAACTCACAAAACAAACCCCCAAACCATGAGATTTAGGGCAAATAAGGACACTGAGATTGGAATTTTAGAGATCAGCAAGTAATTGAATGTCATGGAGGGAAAAGTGGCCACTTCCCTAGTGCAAACCTGTACAAACATCATCCTCTGCTTCCTGAGTGATTTCAAAGGCTTTAGGGATCATAATCATCAGCATCTTACAGGAAGTGGCTGCATAAATTATCTCCAGGTGCTATCAAGATTCAGTGCCACACACCCATGATCAGGAGTCATGATTTTTTCATGGCTATTTTTCCCCTCCATAAAACTATCCATTATCCATAATGGTTATGCAAATCCACCCCATGAGCACAAACAGCAGAGAGAATGAAATCAAATCTCACAAGGAGTTATCAACTGTCTTCTGCCCCAACTCACACTGCAAGGCAAGCAGCTATTAATTGAGCTTCCTGATAATTAAAGGCCTTTCAGCTCTTCACATATGTCAGCACTACCCACCCTGCTCTGGCAGTTTTTGCACCACTCTTTGCTTACCCACTCAGCTGTGCTGGAGGGAGACAAGAGGGGAGCAAGAGGCTCCTTCCACAGTGGGGGGGTCTGAACCCCACAGCTGTCAGTGAGGCATCTCCATTCTCCCTTGGGATCATAGAATCATGGAATGGTTTGGGTTGGAGGAGGACAGAAGAGGGGAAGAGAATGCTCAGAAGGGGACAGAGCTCAGGGCAGTGCTGGTCACAGTCCCCATGTCACACACTGCTGCTGTCACTCAGGGCAGAGCCCCAACATCCAGCCCAGAGGTTCTGAAACCCACAGGGCTCAACATTCACCCTCACAAACACTGAGCAGGGCAGGGCACACAGCTTGGGTTTTCCTGCTCAGCCTGTCTTTTCCACTTTGGCCACTTCCATCAAGACTTCAATGCTTAGAGCATTAGAAAAGCTTTTTATCTCCCCCCACAACCAGCTCAGTTGCTCCTGTGGCAACACAGGATGAGGCTGCGCTAAGATTTATACAAGTAAAGGTGATTTCTCCTCCACTGTCACTACTTTCACTCGCTGTTCTCACACAGAGCCAAGTCAGGCTGTGATTTCTATCACAAATCACCTCCCCAGACTCTTCCACTCACCCCCACCAGTCCCTACAGCACACACAGGAGCTGGTGAGCCCTAACCACAACAAAACACACCCCAAACTTTGCAGCTAAAGGCTGCAAAGCCATTTCTGCCCAAATCCTCCTTCTCCAACCCACAGAACTCTCCAAAGAGGCATTTCCTTTCCACAGGGAACAGTTTCACACAACTCAGAGAGGGGAGGCCAACACAGCAAATCAGGACACAGAAACACCTGTTTCCTTGAGATATATTTCTCCTCTTTTTAAAGATATTTACAAGGCATTAGAAAAAACCAGTTTTCTTCACATGGGATGGGCAAACCTTTCCCAGTCCCTGATTCCCATCCATTCTCCCAGTCCCTGATTTCCAGTCCCTGATTCCCATTCTTTCCCCAGCCCGATTTCTAGTCCTTCCCCAGCCCCTAATTTCCATCCCTTCTCCCAGTCCCTGATTCCCAGCCCTTCCCAGCCTGATTTCTAGTCCCTCCCCAGCCCCTAATTTCCATCCCTTCTCCCAGTCCCTGATTCCCAGCCCTTCCCATCCCGATTTCTAGTCCCTCCCCAGTCCCCGATTCCCACCCCTTCCCCATCCCGACTTCCATCCCTTCTCCCAGCCCCTGATTTCCACTCCTTCTCCCGGCCCGTGATTCCCAGCCCCTCCCCAGTCCCTAATTCCCTTTCCCAGCTCGAACACCCCGCTCACCGCAGACCTCCATATCTCTCCCCATCCCCGTGGGGACAACCCCTGATCCTCACCCCCAAGCCCTTC